CCTGAAAGTGGCAAACAAGAACCTCCTGCGTGCTCACTGAGTGGGGGTTAAAAGCAGCTCGTGGAGACGCCCTGGTGGCTCCAGCCTTCATGTCATACTGAGGATTTCGGCTAAAAACACAATCCAGTCTCAGCAGCCAGTGTGTCCTTTGCTGCTATCAAGCTGTGACATGTTCTGTGTTCACAGACGACCAGGTTGGATATAATAAAGTGGTCAGTGAGGATCCAGCTTTCGAGGTGAAATACTTGATGGTTTTTACTTCCTGTTAGCTTCTTGGTAGCTGTGTAGCAGCTAGAATCCTGGGTTTGACTCCACTGGCCAGCCGAGGCCTTCCTGTGTGGAGTTTGCATGTTCTCTGGTTCCTGTGTGGGTTCTCACCAGACACTCCAGCTTCCACCCACAGTCCAAAGACATGGATGCTAGGCTAACTGGTGACTTGACTGTGGTTGTCTGTTAGCCCTATGATAGGCTAGCAACCTGTCCAGAGTCTGCATCGCCTTTCGCAGCATGACGGCGTGGACGGATGGAGTTTTACTTTTAAAAACAACAAAACTGGCAATCAAGTGACTCCCCAACACTTACTGTTGCATAGCTCATGCCCACACCGTGGATGCCTATGCTGGCAGGCGTGTCCATAACAGCACCGACTCCCAGCTCAGGCTTGATGGTGGGATTAAGCACTGCTTTCTTCTCCTTCAGGTTGAGCACCAGGCCCAGTTCTGGCAGCGGAAGGCACGAGGGCCGAGTCAGACCAAACAACATGTAGTAGAGATTGACAGCATCGCAGCGCAGCCGCCAGTCATGGGACGTACCTGAGAAAGAAGAGGATATATCACATCATCTCCTGAGCCTGCTGTAGCACTCTCTAAGACAGCAGCTTCGAGTGCAGGCGTTTGGAAATCTACAAGCATGTTAAGCTTTTTTCAACGAGTACATGCCCGCATTTAATCCTAAGCTGCATACTGCTCGACCACACGGTTTATTTGACAATCCCAACACTACTAAATACAGATAATAGGCTCTCAGTGACAGCAAGCCTGAATGTCTCATTATGTGAGTCATTTGAGTAGTTTGGATTTGGCATGAAGTAAACTCCAAATCTTGCTGAAGCCAGCAATCCAAAGGCCCGGGGCCGGCTGTGGTTTTAAAAGATGACTGAAAAAACGACTAACAGCAGAAAGTCCTCTTAGTTTGTGTTGCCTGACCTTCAGTCAGTGAAACACCATCCTGTGTGAGTGTGCTGGTTTAACACACGAGGGAGAAAAAGGATTATAAAATGACCAACACACTATCAGAACATGGTATTTAAGGTTACCACACGCCGGGCAGCTCGGGTTTAAACTGGCAGCCGCTCACACTAACCAGAACGACAAACAGACATCGTCAGGAAACAATGATCATTAATATTTATGTCCATGCCTCCAACTTGTAAATCTATAAATTTAATAACATGTTGGAATAAAAGCCCAGAAGAACATGAAACTGTGAACATATACTTGTAATTGGCTTCTGACATGGAGTGTATTTTGTTTGGCAGACTAAAGCTTTGGCTGACAGACAGGACCCCCTGGAAGAGAAAGAAATAATGAAAACTGAGGACACAATAGAAAGCAGAGCTTTGGGTTTATATATAAGCGCTGCACCAAGATGTAGACCATAACTAGTTGAATGACCCGCTGACAACGAACAAAGGTCCTACAGAAATCACATCCATGAAGAGCTTTTAACTCTCACAGTTGCCAATATTGTTTGGGTTAAATTTGTGCAGTTGGCTTCATCTGAAGACATCAAAAGATGGCAGCTAGCACTAAAACACAGAAAAACAATGTTATTTATACAGCGCCCAGTCACAACAACAGTCGCCTCACGGTGTTTTATACTGTAAGGTCGACCCTACAATAATACATACAGAGAAGAACCCAACAATCATGTGACCCCCTATGAGCAGCACTTTGGCGACAGTGGGAAGGAAAAACTCCCTTTTAACAGGAAGAAACCT